ACAGGATTCCAGCAGCCGTGTGAGCCATGAAAGCTTGGCCGAGATATCCCACATGGCTCCAGTCAGAGGGGAGGCTGCCCATAGACAGTGGAGGGGTTTCGTCCTGTGACCACACAGCCAGTGAGCCTCATGAGCTGCTCTGTCTGACAGGGTCCCCCATGGGGAGGACCTGCCCACAGGAAGCTCTGGGCACCAAATGTTCTTCTCCTATTTCCTGGATCCACTGCCTGTCTCCCTGGAACTGCTGCTCAGTTCCTCGGAGCCCCTCCAGTCACTCAAAGTTCTCAGCAATGGGCAAGTCACTGCTCAGACCAGCAGGAATATGGGAATAGAGCCTGAGTTTTCTCACTCTTGGGCTCTCAATGAAGAAGGAGTCATGGAGGGGTCCACCATTGCTGGTTTTAAAAGTTCCTGCTCAATTTATCAAAAGTTAAAGTCATGAGCTCTAACAGCAAAGTTATATTTATTCCTGTATAAATGTATGCATTATATTGATTTATAATATAGTTGCATAGCATATATAGATATATAAATATAATTTATATCCAAAACATCATATTTATTTAGGTTTACATAATGTGTACATACATATTTATGCACACACACATAAACACACACACATATTAACTTATTTAGCATGTGCTTCTTTTCATTCTAATCAGAGAACCTGACTAAGTAAAGACTCTGGGGACATTTGCTGTTCCTCCCTCTTTGGCTCCATCACGATACCAATAACTCAGGACCAGTGAGGACAGAGCTGAAGACAGCTGGCCCCAGGAGCCCAGGCCCAGGCCTAAGGCCCTGGTCTCTGAGTCTTTCACTCTGACTGTGGGCTCTGGACTTGGTGCAGTACCCTTGGGAGTGTGAGCAGTTTCCTTCCCTGAAGCCCCTGCCAAGAAGCCTCATGGACAGGACCTTTGGCTCCTTCCAGGTCCTCAGCCCCATGGTTCAAGGGAGTTTTAGCTGCTTCCTCCACAGCCCAGGGCCAGAACCCAGCAGCACAAGCCTGACCCTAATCAGCCCTGGGTTGAGAACTCTACTGCAAATCTCTTCCCTTTTATTTCCATGCCTAAAATTCTTTCTTGGTCTTAAACTCATAGGCCACTTTTTCACAACTGCTGAAGCTAAGGTTGTCATCTGGAAGATTAGGAATTTGACTTCACTGCCATTCTCGGGGCTTCTCCTGTTCTATTCTCAGAAGGTAAAAGTATCTACAGACTTTCTTTCTTTTTTTCTTTTTAATTTATTTTATTGCATTTTAGGTTTTGGGGTACATGTGAAGAATATGCAAGATTGTTGCATAGGTACACACGTGGCAGTGTGATTTGCTGCCTTCCTCCCCATCACCTACATCTGGCATCTCTCCCCTTGCTATCTCTCCCCAACTCCCCACCTCCCACCTTCCTTTCCCTATTTCCCCCCAACTGACCCCAGTGTGTAGTGCTCCCCTCCCTGTGTCCATGTGTTCTCATTGTTCAACACCCGCCTATGAGTGAGAACATGCAGTGTTTGATCTTCTGTTCTTCTGTCACTTTGCTGAGAATGATGGTTTCCAGGTTCATCCATGTCCCTACAAAGGACCCAAACTCATCGTTTTTGATGGCTGCATAATATTCCATGGTGTATATGTGCCACATTTTCCCTGTGCAGTCTATCATTGATGGGCATTTGGGTTGGTTCCAGGTCTTTGCTATTGTAAACAGTGCTGCAATGAACATTCGTGTGCACGTGTCCTTATAGTAGAACGATTTATAATCTTTTGGATATATACCCAGTAACAGGATTGCTGGGTCAAATGGAATTTCTATTTCTAGGTCCTTGAGGAATCACCACACTGTCTACCACAATGGTTGAACTAATTTGCACTCCCACCAACAGTGTAAAAGTGTTCCTATTTCTCCACATCCTCTCCAGCATCTGTTGTCTCTAGATTTTTTAATGATCGCCATTCTATCTGGCATGAGATGGTATCTCAATATAGTTTTGATTTGCATTTCTCTGATGACCAGTGATGATGAGCATTTTTTCATATGTTTGTTGGCCTCATGTATGTCTTCTTTTGTAAAGTATCTGTTCATATCCTTTGCCCACTTTTGAATGGGCTTGTTTGTTTTTTTCTTGTAAATCCGTTTTAGTTCTTTGTAAATTCTGGATATCAGCCCTTTGTCAGATGGGTAAACTGCAAAATTTTTTTCCTATTCTGTTGGCTGCCATTTCACTCTACTGACTGTTTCCTTTGCCATGCAGAAGCTGTGGAGTTTGATTAGGTCTAAACAAAAAGAACAAAGCGGAAGGCATCACACTACCGGACCTCAAACTATACTACAAGGCTACAGTAATCAAAACAGCATGGTACTGGTACCAAAACAGAGTTATAGAACAATGGAACAGAACAGAGGTCTCGGAGGCAACACCACATATCTACAACCATCTGATCTTTGACAAACCACACAAAAATAAGCAATGGGGAAAGGATTCCCTGTTAAATAAATGGTGTTGGGAAAACTGGCTAGCCATGTGTAGAAAGCAGAAACTGGACCCCTTCCTGACACCTTACACTAAAATTAACTCCAGATGGATTAAAGACTTAAACATAAGACCTAACACAATAAAAACCCTAGAAGATACCTACAGACTTTCTTCTCCCCATACGACTTCACTTAGAAGCTTAGTGAGATTTGGCAAAGCTCTTAACACCTACACAGCAGCTAGCCCCCTCCTCCTGTGGTGTGTAGGGCTGTAGCTGTCTCCTGCTGGGCAAGCAAGGACAGTGAGTCTCTCCCAGCCCAGGACAGGAACAGGAATTAGAGACACATGTGATCAGCTCCAGAATGAGATATCAGAGGAGTAAGGGGAAGTAGACAGTATTTTGGATGATGTTGATCCCGTATAATATAGGCAATGATGGCAAAGAGAGCTTTGCCCTGCATTTTTTTTTATTTGGTTAGGAGCAGGGTCTCACTGTGTGAACCAGAATGGAGTGCAGTAGCATGATCATGGCTTACTGTAGACTCAAATTCCTGGGCTCCAGCCATCCTCTCACCTCGACTTCCTGTGTGAAGACTACAAGTGCTCACCACCACATCTGGCTAATTTTTTAATTTTTATTTTTAGTAGAGATGTGGTCCCTGCTATGCTTCCCAGGCTGGTCAGGCTCCTGGGCTCAAGCAATCCTCCTGCTTTGGCCTCCCAAAATGCTAATGTTAAAGGCATGAGCCACTGTACCTTGGCCTGCCCTTTTTTTCTGGGATAGCTATGACTGGCATAATGATTAGAGTCACTGCAGCCCTCTTGAGACCATGAAGCATTAAGCCCAAAATTGAAATCCAAAGTGGTGCAGGTGCAAAGCAAAAATGTAGAAAGACATATTGGAAAGCTGAGGCAGGTGGATGGCTTGAGTTCAGGAGTTTGAGAATAGCCTGCATTGAATTGGTTAGCATCACGTGATAAAAAAGTTAAATATACAAAACTTACAAAATAAGCAAAATAATAAACATGATAAATACTGAAACATAAGACTTTTATTGTACTTCTACTTCCTCACCATAATTTGTGGTCATCAACCCAGAACACTGACATGGAGTTCAACATTTAAGATCAGTGTCATTTTTATACTCAATTGCTTTTTCCAACCTTGTTAAAAAGTCTTAATTTGGTAGATTTCTCAGAAGACATACAGATCAAGCTTTCTTCTGGGATCACATTTAGAACTGCATTTGTTTGTGTTTTTACCAATGAAGTATGACTTTGGGTTAAATTACCTGAGATTACATAGCACTACAAACTATCATGCCAAGTCTTCCCATATGTTTTCTTGCCAGGACAGTGAGTGTTCTTGTGAAGGGATATGATGTAGGCATGATCTTTCAGGAGTTGTCCAACTCAATCTTGAGATCATTGACAAATAGTTGGATTGTTTCCCTACTTTCATGATCAGCTGTGTGGTAGATTGGCATCTCTGAGTTGTGATCATCTTTACAAGAAAACTCAGGAAAATGTCAGTCATGGATAATGGTGACCATGAGACAGCAAAGCTGTGGATCTATTTCTTGCTCTTCTTACACAGAGATTTTCCACTCAAATCGTGGATTCATGGCTGTGGTTGCCCCACTTACAGGGACAGGGGACACTCAGTTCTCACTCAGAGTTGACAAGAACCTGGAAGCCCTGATAGGACCTGATTTTACATGATGAGAAGACTGTGGGAAGAGTTTTTCTTAACACCACTCAGAAAAACATAGTGCAAAGTTATTTTTTGTTCATTCTATTTCCTATAAAAATCTTCCTTTAATAAATTCTTTGGGTTAATCTGATATATGTGAGATGATTATGATGGGATATATACCAGATTAAACAATTGGTCACCAGGAATTTTATATTCACTGCCCGAGGAATAAAACTTTTCCTCCTTTCTGGTTATTTACACTGGGCTCTTGGATCTAAATGTAGAGACCCATATCATTTTCCCTATGAGGTCCTTGGACAGGGTGCTTTTATGGGGCTCATATACCAGGCGACAGGGGAGGGCAGATTCCAACACTTGCTATGAACATCCTTGAACAGTTATCCTGGAAACAGAAGATACCAGACAACTCTTGAACTGACTCAAGACTATGTTTTATTTGTAGACATTCTGCTTATCAGTGCTTGTAGGAAAGGATAATGTTTCCTTTTTTTAGATTAGCTGGGAGGGGTACAAGAAGAATGGCATTCGCCCATGTTCATTCAAGACACATATTTCTACACTGTTAGGGTTGTTATGCTTTCCTAGAGTTGCATGTCCTGTACAATGGGACCTACCCAAGATCCAAACTGTCACAGTCAGATCCTTCCTTCCATTTTATGTCACATTGTTCACAGGAGAGACATATCCCCTCCCCCCGGTTTCTTTGACTCTTTCCACACCACTGCATGCACCAGGGAATTTGCATATTGTCTCATAGGGAGGACTTTTCTTAAAGTCTGAGATAAAAGCTCAGCTCCAACCTTGGCTTGACTGATCAGGACTCCTCAGTTCACATTCTCATGATGAGGCTCACTGCTCAGCTCCTGGGGCTGCTAATGCTCTGGGTCCCTGGTAAGGACAGAAGGAGATGAGGAAGGAGAATGGGATGCGGGGGTGAGCTCCAGGGCTCCGCAGCATCCCATGTTTAGTCTAATCCTGCATTAGAGGAATAGGATCTGTGCTGCGGAAAAGGGAACTTGATATTTTCCTCTGTGAATAATTAGAAGTCTCATGAAATATACAATGTCTGGTGTTCTGACTAGATCTTCAAAATGTAAAGGTCTCCTGCTTTACAAAAATCCTTTTCATTTTAGAATGTGTATTTTTATGGTATAAGTCAGTATTTTAAAAAATTAAGTTTAAATAAATGATATAAGATAAATTATGAAAATTGCTTATTAGGTTTGTACGTAACTTTGCTCTTCATTATTTCAGGATCCACTGGGGATATTGTGATGACCCAGACTCCAGTCTCCCTGCCCGTCACCCCTGGAGAGCCGGCCTCCATCTCCTGCAGGTCTAGTCAGAGCCTCCTGCATAGTAATGGAAAAAACTATTTGTGGTGGTACCTGCAGAAGCCAGGCCAGTCTCCACAGCTCCTGATCTATTTGGTCTCCAACCAGGTTTCTGGGGTCCCTGACAGGTTCAGTGGCAGTGGATCAGGCACAGATTTTACACTGAAAATCAGCAGGGTGGAGGCTGAGGATGTTGGGGTTTATTACTGCATGCAAGCTATACAGTTTCCTCCCACAGTGGTACAGCCTTTAACACAAACCTCCCTCCTGGGGTGGCCCAGCTGTCCACATGTGCTGCTTGTCTGATGAGCTTCTCAGCAGGGTCTCTTGAGTCTGCAGAAGAGGAGGCTGTTGGAGACCTCAGGGCAGGGGTTGCTGCTGAGCTGAGAACTTCGGCTCATGAAAACCTCAGTGGTACTTCAGCTCCACATGTTAAGGCCCCATTAGGTGAAAAATAAATGATTGCAAAAACTAAAATGGGATATCAAGGAGAATCAGAGTACTGATTAAAGCTGTTACAAAGAAGCCTCAAACTATGGTAGACTAACTGTGACCAGGTTTCTGTGTCTGTTGCATGGCAATGCAGAGATAGGTGGGTGGCCTTGGTGGTGTTGGTGGCTCTGCTTTGTGAGGTCACTCAGATGGGCAGGAGGCATGACCACCCTCAGCACACAGCTTTCCTTCTTCCTCACAGTCACTGCACCCATGCCCATTCCTCAGCAGCATGAGGTGGAACAAATAGAAAGCTGTTTTCTTCTAAAGACCAAAGAAACTAGATTTTTCCATCAGGATAAATATTCTTTGCTTTAAGGACACATCAGAGAAATTTTCCATTGAGTGGATCTGATGATAAACCCACATTGTTTTGTTTGTTTGGTTTGTTTTGTTGTGTTTTGAGATGGAGTCTCCCTCTGACACCCAGGCTGGAGTACAGTGACATGGCTCGGCTCACTGCAACCTCCGCCTCCTGGGTTCAGGTGATTCTCATGCCTCAGAGTCCCGAGCAGCTAGGATTACAGGGGCTCACCACCATGGTCAGCTAATTTTTGTATTTTTAGTAGAGACAGGGTTTCACCATATTGGTCAGGGTGGTGTCAAACTCCAGATCTGAAGTGATCCACCTACCTTGACCTCCCAAAGTGCTGGGGTTACAGGTATAAGCCACCACACCTAGCAGTTTTTTATTTGTTTTAATATGAAAATGTAAAATTATTTTAGAAAATAATTTTTTTGAGTATGAAGTTATGTTTGTGGCATCCTATTTGACTTTATCATTTATCATTTGATAATTTTTACTAAAATGTCTTTTCTTTTTTTTTTTTTCAGTTTATATGGTTTTCTTTTTTTTTTTTTTTCCCATTTTTTTATTTTATTGCATTTTAGGTTTTGGGGTACATGTGAAGAACATGCAAAATTGTTGCATAGGAACACACGCGGCAGTGTGATTTGCTGCCTTCCTCCCCATCACCTACATCTGGCATTTCTCCCCTTGCTATCTCTCCCCAGCTTCCCACCCCCCACCCTCCCTCCCCTATTTCCCCCCAACTGACCCCGGTGTGTAGTGCTCCCCTCCCTGTGTCCATGTGCTCTCATCATTCAACACCCGCCTATGAGTGAGAACATGCGGTGTTTGATCTTCTGCTCCTGTCTTTTCAATAAAAGTCGCATGACTCTAAGTGTCCTCTTCTGAAAAGAATAAGGGTTTTTATCCTCTCAGGATCCTTTTAGGATCTTCAACTAACCTCATGTTTTTTACACATACAATATATTAATTTAATTTATTATTTATGATAAATTTATTAAGTAATTTTCACTGTCAAAAAATTTAAAATCTCATAAATTGGTATGTCAACAGCCTGTCTCTAGGAGCAAACACACTCCACAATAAACAGTAGAGAACACCACGGTCTTAGAAACACTGGGAAAGTAAGAGTGATAGTGTCCCATTATCAACGGGAAGCCCCTGGAGCTAGAATGGTCTCATGTCTGACCTGGAACATCTGGGAGAAGCTGCCATGAGCTGAGTTGCGAGGAAACTGCTCTGTGCTCGGAGGCTGAAAGCACATTCTTTCCCTCCCCACTGCCTTACCTGTGTCCTCCTGCTGGGGTCTAAATTGTGTCCCCAGATTAATGTTGAAGCTCTACTCCCCAGTGTGGCTGTAGGAGATAGAACCTCTAAGAAGATAATTGAGATCATAAGGGTGGGGCCCTGATTCATTAAGGTTAGTGGTTCTTATAAGATCCAGGGAGTTCTCTTTTTCCTCTCTCTCTAACTGCTGCACCCCTATGGAAAGGCCATGTGAAAGCATGGTGAGAAGGTAGCATCTACAAGCCAGGAAGAAGGTCTTTACTGGAAAGTGAACCCTGCTGGACCTTGATCTTGGACTTTCCAGCCACCAGAACTGTGAAAATAAATGCCTGTGGTTCAAGCCATCTACCCAGCGTATTTTGATGTCACAGTGCAAGAAGACTCATTCACTGTCCCCACCCTCTCTGAACAAGATCAGCATCAAGAAGCATCTCGTGGATGCAGGGACCCAGCTTTGCTCCTCCTCCTCTTGCTATTCTTAGTTTCTTGAGGAAGAGGGGAGGGTTCAGGCTTCATCTTCAGTTTGTTTTCAATAAACATGAATGCTTCCTTGACAATCAGGTAATTAGCTTGTTTTGTTTTCTGAAAAGAATTTAACCAAACTGAGGAAACTACTTGCTTAGTATTAATATTTGGGGTGTTCATGTTTGTTCCCACTTAGATGCCAGTTGGGATGTTGTATGGACACAGTCTCTAGCCCCTTTCCCTGTGTACTAGTAGAGAGGGCCACTGTCACCTGCAGGGCTAGACATAGTCTCAACAGTGTCCTAGTCCGGCATCAGCGGAAACCGCACCTGGCTCTGAGCTCCTGCTGGCTACTACTGCTAACTGTACATAATGCCTGTTGGGTCAGGGGTGATGGGCTTGGACAGACTTCACTCAGGCCATCAGCAGCCGAGTTGCCTTCATAGTGTCCCATCGTGAACAGGGTGCCAGCAGCTACCTGCACCATAAAAGCTAGGCAGAGAGATCCCACATCACTCCAGTCAGAGGAGAAGCTGCCAATTGGTTGTGGAAGAGCTTTTGTCCTGACTACTCAGTCACTGAGTCTCACGTGCTTCTGTGTCTGGAAAGAGCCCCCAGGGGAGAGGAATTGTCTAGTCAGGGACCTGGAAATAAAACTTCTCTCCACTCAGGGCACAGACCCACTGCCCATCTCCCAGCCACCTGCTGATTGTGTTCCCCAAAAACCCCTTGGGTCAGTCAGAGTCCACAGTAATGGGAGGCTCTCTGTCCTGCTCAATAGGGACATGGGGAAGGGTCCTGAGCTTCCTGACCCTCAGGAAGTCAGGAAGGGACCACGTTTATGGTGTGCTATTGCAGTTTTAAATGTTCATCCTCAATTTATCAACTTTGAAATCATACTTATAAGGATAGTTATATCTATTTCTGTATAAATATGCAGGGAGCTCCTGGGTCTGGAGCTCCCTGAAGGACTGCAGCTCTTCTCTCTTCTTGTTACCTACAATGTGGTGAGTTGGACAAGTGTGTGTTTCAGCCCTATTTGTGTTACTGCTCTTTTAGTCTCTCCATTTGGCAGGTCCCAAGTTCTTGTCCCACATCCAGGAAGAATGAGATATGCAGACCACTGGAGGATGAGTGAGGTGAAAAGGGGCTTTATTGAGCAATAGTGCAGCTCTCAAAGTACCCAAAGTGGGTAGCTCTTTTCTGCAGGCAGGTTGACCCAATAAGTGCAATTCTCAGCAGAGAGGAAACCTGAAGTGGATGGCCACACAGGCAGGTCATCCCATCATCTGCCTGAGTCTGGCTGACTATGGGGTTTTTATAGGCTTCAGAAGGGAGAAAGTGTGTGCTGAGTAGTTCATGGGCTGCTATGGGCGGGCCTGGACAAAGCACCATAAGTTCTCACCCTGGTCCAAGGAATTGGAAGCCTAGGCCCCAGGCTTCAGGCTGTCTGTGGCTTGAAGGTAGGCCTTCACTGGGGACCTGCCCCTTTCTGCTCAGGACCCTGTCTGCCTCCTGCTACCACCTACATGTCATCCACAAAGTCCAGGCTGTTCATGCTGAAGGTTACCTCCAGGCCCATGTGGAGCTTCCCTCAGCCCCAAATCTGCCTCCCCCCCATGCTTGCTGGCACCCAAAGTCTGAAGGGGGCCAAGGCAGCAGGGGGCTGGCATGTCAGTGCTGTCCTGAGCTCGCACACAGCTGGCTGGGTCATGACAGTGCCCAGGCTCTGCCTCAACTTTGCTCTTAAATCAGAGCAGTTACCAGAAGTGTGGGGAGGCCAGGCAGCCAAAACAGGCACTTCTGGGCCTGTAGTGGAAGGGGGACTTCCTGAACTCTGGAGAACACAGGAATGCCTGGTCCACAACTGCAAGTCGGGGGCTGCAGTTCCTCCTGGAAGGGTGGGGCTCCCACCTCTCCAACTCAGAGGGGGTTAAGAGCTCTCACCTGTCCCTGGCTCCCACTGCCTCCCTGGAGCATGCAGCTCTGGCCACACCTCCTCC